GTCTGTGCTCAAGCTAATACCTGCCAATCTAATAGAGCATAACAAAAATACTGTTTTGTTTTCTTTCTGTGAGTCCTTGTGAATGATAGGAAGACACTCTCTGCTGATGTGTATCAAGTGATCCCCAGTACCTTTAAGCCCATGTCAGCTGCACATTTCTAGCGCAGGGATTAATTATACATGGTTTGTGCAAGCTGAGAGCTCTCTGTGGAAGCAGGCAGGCTCATTTGCACTAAGGACACAGTACCTAGTGGTCACAGGAACACAGGGTTTGATGGGAGCTTTTGAAATCATCTAGATGACCTCTGTCTCCCCTGAGAGATAGGTTTTTTTCCACTCAGTGCTTCAGTGGCAGACTTAAATCCTCCTGACTAGCCTGTTCTAGGGTTTCAATACCCTAACCTGATAAAGCATTTTTGCCTGATGCCTAATGTCAAGCTACCTGCTCTATAAATCCATTTCTTCATGTCTCATCTACTACTGTGGGCAGAGAACAGGTTATTCCTCTGCATCTGGCAGCAGTTTTTCTTGTATTGTTACCATGCCTCTTTACCTGCTCTAAATGAGCCATGTGTAATTGTATAAATGAGCCATCAGCGCATACCTTCTTATTAATAACATGTAATTATTCACAGACAGCACTTGGCAATAGAAAGAAAAGCTCCTACTAGGGGCAAGAGGCATTAGGAGGTGATGCTGCTCAACACCTTAAAGAGGTACTTAGGACTGGGTCTTCTCTAATACAGAAATTTTACAAACTCACATTGCTTATCAAATAATTATGAAAAGAGGGATGAACCCCTGGACTTGCTTCAGACTGGAATGGAGTGCAGGTCCTTTCTACAGGGTGAACTTCACAGCAAAGACTTGACTGAGAGGCAGCCAGGCTGCCAGTTAACACAGGGCAAGGCGAGCTGCATCCACAGCAAGGGGATACAGGACTTGTGACAGCCTGTGCTATAAGGCACAGCCACTCACAGCCGTTTTTGCTCATTTTACTACAGAGAGTGGTACATACTTGCAAACAGGAAAACTCTTTCTATTGATATTACTGGGCATCATGCCAGGCTTCCAGATGAAAGAGTGATACTTGGGAACACACTAAGCGATAATGACATGAAGAAGCACTCAGATGGCCGTTTATTTCAGATGCTGTGGTGACAGGTCCTCACACATACTGTAATGCTGTAAGTAAACAAGAAATAAAAGTCCTTGCATTTTTTCAGGAAAATAAATGCCTGAGGAAGAAAGCCCCATACAGAGGTTGTGCACCAAGAGCTTCCCCGGTTACCTGTCCCCACATTTTTCTCTAGCCGATACGCAGCTTGGAAGCCCCGAGTGAACAGTGCACGCATGGCAAATTATAATGTGCATGTTTTATTACAGGAAATGCAAACATATTGTGGCTCATGCTGTAGGGCTTAAATCATCACATTAGGTCTTTATAAAAAATGGAGATCGCTCAGCCTCATGGGAAAGACATTTGCATCTTCATCATTACAGAGGCAACAAACTTCATCCATAAAGATGTGCCTAGAACAAATGGCAGCAAATTGTGGACACATGTTTTGCTTTAATTGGTCCTCATCAACTCAATCTAGCTAGTGACTTCAAAAAGCTCTTACTAAGAAACCTCTTCCAAATTTTTTGTTTCAATCTTTTTATGGTTTTTCTTTCCTCTTAATGTCTTAAGAGATTTCAGATTAAATAGAATCTTTGAAGATACAGTATGAAAGCATACTGTATCTTCACTTCTTTACAGTTTTACATCACGTGTTTAATTACTTATTCATAAATTATGAATGCCTAGGGGTAAAGTAGCATTGCCCGGAGCCCCTGTCCTAGGCCAAGTGTAGCGCGACAATTTTCACAAACTCTACCTCTTGACAGCTGGGATCAGATTCAAGCCAGCTACAACTCTATTCAAAAGAGCAGCTGTTGCTAATGCCATTTTCACATGCTATTCTTGATCAGCATGAATGGATGGAATGTGCTCTTTTTGGAAAGCACAGCAAAATAATATGGATGGCAACCGAATGCTTACATAACTCATGTGAAATTCACCAAAAACCCCAGACATCAGCTACAATCAAAATCTTATTTAGATATGGGTCTGATTTTTAAAAATACAACTAACAAATCCCACTGTTAAAAAATCAAACCAATATCAATATATCTTTTCTTCCAGCCCCAAAGCCAAGCAGCTCTCTAGAGTACAGAGTCATACTGTCTCAGAACCGCACAAACACGGCTGAACGCAGCAGAAACGAACAGAGGAGGAAAAGAATTCACAGATGAGTGTAGCCACTACTGGCCCAGCAGCACAGCTGGGATTCAAGCAAAATGTAGCAAGTGTCATAACAACAAACCAATTTGGAGGTGAAGCTGCTGCTTCCCACATTTTTATGTCACAGGCACATCCACAAGCACACACACACACACACAGAGTTCTCGTCTCTCCAGCTGATCACTGTTACTACAAAATCCACCAACACTTTGTTCCAGCTGTCCCAGGTTTTCTATGTTTATGCAAGCCCTATATTCACATTTGCAAGAATGCATACATAGGGCACTTGTCTCTATAGCCCTGAACCTCAACCACTCACTCATGCCACAGCAGACATGAAGAAAACACTGCCACATTATTGAGGCAGCACCACAGACCCACTTGTTGCAGCTGCAGATGAGGAAGGCAGGCAGGTGGAAGACATTGGTGAATCAGCCCAAAGCAGAATATCCTCTTTTGATATTTTCTCTGAAAGTTTGCTTTCTCTTCAGCTGTACAGCAGCAGCAATTTTCCTCTTTTGTCCACATGAAACAAATAAGACAATGCTGCAGGCCCTTCTTATACCATAAAGAACAGTTACAGGAAATACATTAAAGTAATTTCCTCTTCCTTGGACAGAATGCACTCTCTGGGAGTTTGTTTTTAGCACTGTGATGTAACTGGGGAAAAAGTGAGCTTAGGTAACACACCTCAGTGCATCTAAAAGAAAGTTGATATAATAGAAATTAAGTAGCTTGCCATAGACTTTTTATAAACCAGTGAAAAAAACCATTCCAGATGCCCAAAATATACCTCTTATATAGCTATAGTTGCTGCTGTATTTGTTAAGGAAAACTACCTTTATTACAAGTTTTTGCACTCAGAGAAATAAAGCAGTTTTTTTACCCGTCACTAGAAGTAAGTTCAAAATCCATCTTTTCAAATTACATCACAGAATCGACAATATTGTTGCAGAGTCATACTATATATATGTGTGTGTATATACATATATACAGTTTTCTTGGTTTTTCCCTCCTATATTCAGTGTTCCTTGATTTGCCACCTATCTCTTCAATATACAACCCTGAAAAATACAGTTTAAAGCAGCAGGGATAACAAAGGGGAATTCTGCCAAGCAGGGAAACATGGTATTAAAAAAAATAGAATATTTACAGAAAGACTCAACTCTGTGATAAGATGGATGAACAGTATACTTCCTTCTTTTCCCTACTTGTTGGTAGAAATGTATTTATACAGCTCTGCTTCATACTTTCTTTACAATGAACCTAATGTTGATCCTAAAACCAAGTTATTTTTAGAATTAAATCACATTTCAACATAGCAAAATGCAGCGAAGTATTACAGGTCCTTAGCTATGGTAAATATACCACAGGCCCCACTGCTCTCCATGGGTTTCTGGTTGAAATTCTCTTTGAGGAGCTTCTCCCACACTGCCCTCCAGCCAGGCACCAAATCTCTGGGAGCCAAAACTGTGCTGCTGGGGAGGTCATGTAGGCACATCTGGATTAGCTTTATGCTCAAGCAAAATAACCTTGGGTGTACTTCTGGAGCCTCCCCTCTAGTATCATAAGGACAAACCTGTTTCCCCTGTGTCACAGGAGAAGATGTAAATAGGAATAAGAACACCAACAAATCTAGAGAAGCAAAAGAAACCTCTCAATCTATACCCAGATGATCATGAGTAAAGCAAAGATATGATAGTAAACAGATTTCTGTAACAGCCCACAAAATATTCCTTAGATTTAATTTTCACACATCCAATAAAAAAGACAATCCTTCCATTGCTCATTCCAAGCATACTAAGCATGATTTCCTGGTTTTCCTCTTGCTTTGGCCAGAATAACAGAGGTACATACAAAATTGTCTATGAAAATATCTATACTGAGGGAAGACATTCTGCCAAACTGAAGTTACAACAGTAAAAAACTGGGGTGTTTTTCATTTTTACTGGAAATTAGCAATTTACCTTGCAAAACATGACAGAAAATGGTTAGACTTACATTTTATCTAGTCCTGCTTTATTTAATCTCTACAATTTTGAAGAAAAGTAATTGCTTATGATGCTTGCACGGCAAATTTTCAGTTTACAAAAAAGCCCCAATAGTGTCAATACTGTTTTACACCTAAAACCTTCCCTTACTTCCATGAACAGAGCAGCCAGCCTCTGTCTACACAGTCTAAATTCCACCTGATGTTTCTGCTGGACTTCCATATTGGATGGACTCTTCTGAAAGCCAAAACATAGAAAAAAAAATAAACTTGTCATCTCAGGAATTGACACAGAATTTAGTTCTGTGTAGGCCTAGACTTTTCCTTACTCACACACCTTTTATTGAGTGGTGACCACCAGAAATGTCAAGTGGGATGGATCCCTTTTCCAAAAATGTTGCACTGTTTCTTCCAGCCACCATCCTCTGTATCTACATCTCCTTTTTCTGAGGGTAACAGTTGCCTCAGTTGCAAGGCACAGCAAATCAATTCTATTCTTGTACAAAACTCTACAGAATCAACTGATCCTTCAATTAAACTTCAAATACATCTCTAGATATCTCAGATAACAGGGTAATTTTACTTCCATATGGTTCTTCCATGTACCTGAAGCAAGACCCATGGTTAAGTACTTCCCTGAACTGTGCCCTGCATAAATACTACTATCTTACATAAGGATTTGAATAGTTGCTTTCTTACAGAATAAAAATAATATTTACTTACTAAACAGTTGGCAATAGAGGACCTGTAAGCTTCTCTTCATGGTATCATGTGGTCCTGCTGGTCTGCCAGTTTATTCATGATTCTGTCAAAAAAAAAGTCAAGAGAAGGAGAAAATTAGGTATGAAAAATATAGGCTGCCTGGTTATACCTGTTCATTACAGTGTCAGATGAAGCTTCACAGGAAAATTGTATTGATAAGCACTGGGACATTGCCTAACTGCACTTTGCTTGCTTTAGCCATGCTCTCCAACATCTTTTCAGGGAAGGATAGAGTTATGGCCAAACAGGGAAAAATTTCTCAAGAGAAATAAACACACTGAAAATTACTTTCATGTCATGCTTATGGTTTGATAAAATTAATTTTATGGGAGTCTTTTTAATTTGGAGGAAGGGTCCTCAGTGGAGAAGCAAACACAAAATGCAGACACAACCAGGGAGCTGTGCTGGGCACATGGAGCTGTAGTTTTCTGCCTGAGCTTCCCCTTTTCACATCCCTCAAGAAGTACAATATGGAAAAAGTGCACTCCCTCCTTTCCCAATGAAAATTTCAGTGGTGCCAAAGTGGAGGAGATCCAAAACTCTGCTGAAATAGTAGCACAGAGGGCAGATACGTCCTGGCATTTTTAGCTTCATTTTAGTCAGCTGTTGTCATATTTCTTCCTGATATACCCCACCAGCTACTTGGGCTGGGAAACCTTCTCTGTGTCCCTAGACACTTTCTGTTTCTTCTAAACTGAACTGTCTTGGTGCAGAAGGGACCTCATAATTCTTGTGCCTGCTGTCTGAAAATGTGATGTGGCAAAAATATGTGACCACCCTAACCTCCCTGCCTTTGCCCACTGGGGGAGCAACTAATAATATTTTATGTGTCCTCAGATGGTATTTTAAAATACTTGGCATGAATATTTTTTCACCTCGGTTTAAAAGATATTATGAAAAAATAAATCCCAATCATGCTGATATTAATTATTCACATTGTGAGGAAAATAAATGCATAAATCAGAAGTGAAAAGCAAATGCAGTCCCAAAGCACTGCTGGGAGGAATGTCTCACTGAGTACCCAAACACAAAATTTAAGTTCTTTTTTTTTCCAGAAAAAAGAATTTGCTAAACATTCAAAACTAACTGTGAAAATCAGGACATTGAGATCACCTCCTTGAAAGGCCCTTGGTCAATATTAAAAAGCATGTAGTATTCTCTAGCTTTCAGTTCAACACATTTTCATCTTCTGAACTCCTAGGGACATTTCTGAGTCATTTTAACATGCATACAAATCTTTCAGGGCTTATTTAAAATGCAATATTGAAGACATAAGATAAACAAGTCAAACTAATGATTAACACCTTTGAACTGCATAAATGCTGCAGATCTTGTAAAAACAGAGCTATATTTGACTTTTATGTGGAAAACTCAAAAGGATCGTGACTTTTCTTGCCCGTAACAAAAGATGTTTGGGTTTTGTTAAGTTATTCCACATGGAAATTCATGCACACAAATGCTGTGTGTTTGGATTCCCCCACACTTTCTATTTAAAACTGGACCTTAAAAACATCTCTGTAACTTGCAGAAATGTCAGTATTTGCAAGGCATTTTCTCCTAAATGGAAGCAATCACCGGTGAATTAACTTACCATTTTTAATCAGAATCGGCACTAGATTCATACTACAGTTTTATCACAGAACCTTGCTGAGGGACTTCTGTTCACCCTTTTCCCTACAGTTTACCAAATGATGAAACAGATGTAGTAAAAAAACAGTTATCATATAATCTATTACAGCACTCTTCAAAGATGCATATACAAAAGGTCTGCTTAGCAGCCACTAAGATATTAATAAAAATCTATGCAGGAAAAGACAAGAACCAGATAAGCCATTAACAATGTAGAAACTATATACCCAAGCATTCTTACAAAGTACAAATAAATTAAGTTTGTATCAAAACAGGAATTACAAGCACTCACACATGTGAAGTCACAAAAATACAATGGAAAAAAGGGAGAATCTGAAATTGCAACCCTAAATCCACATTATTGACTGTATAATTTGAACTATGCTTGGCAATGCTGATGTGATGCAGTTCTTGACTGTGAACCACAATTTTTTTTGTATTTCTCTTCCATCTCCATATTAATGCTATGCATAAAAAATAATGGCATTTGCTCATAAATTCTGGTATTGTTGTTGAAATAAATTGAATGCTTTTGTATACATATATATATATATATATATATATATATATATATATATATATATTTAGACCAGAAATTCACCCTGTGTTAAGGAATATGAACTAGTGTGCATATAGGCAAAGAAACAAAGGTTATCACTGGAAAACTTTACTATGTTCTTTTGTTGATCTCAGATTTATCCTTTTGACCACATGGCAATAAAATTATATATAGAGAACTCAGTGAACATACATAAATGAAATGTTGCCATAAATTTACATTGTCTCAATTTTTTCTAAGTCCTTAGTGTGACTTGGGCTTAATTAAAGAGAACAGAGGAACCACTACTGCACCCACCCAGGTGAAAGCTCCAGCAAGCCTATTACCCTGACTTAAACATGAGCTGCCAGCAGGACAGCAGGGAAATAATTTGTGAAACAACCTCAGTGCAAGGTGATCTTTACACCCTAGCACAGACTGCTCTATCTCCAGCAAGCCTGAGTGGAATAAATTACCTAAGGTGCCATATTTTTTAACTTGAAAATAATTACTCCTTACTTATCTCCTCCACATCGTATCATTTTAGTCTTTCATTAGATCATTTAGAATCTCTTTTTCAAGCTGAGGAATTCCTGTCTTTTTTCTTTTTTCATAAAGAAGATATACTTTATGTCTGATAATTTCCATGCCTTAAGCTGAGCTTATCCATTCCAGTTCAGATCTCAGGAGTAGGGAACAAAATTGTATGCAGCCACCAAAATTTGGGTATGTACTGGAGTTTCATACTGCACAGTGATATTTCCTGTTTCTTCTCTAGTCTCTTCCCGGTTGTGCCTACAAGTCTCTTTGTCACTGCTCCTGAGCTCTACTCCATTGTTTTATAGAGCTAAGTAACCATAACTCCTCTGAAGCCTTTCCTCAGGTATTTAAAGCTAGGACTGATTTTCTCCTGTGGATGTGACTTTGCAATTATCATCTGCCACTTTTATCACACAATCATTTACTGCCTTGACTTTTCTGAGACGTGGCAATGAAGGGCTGAATTGCTCTTGTTATTATTATTATTATATTACAAATATATTCCTATCATATATAAGGACTTCAGAAGTTGCCACAGTTTCTACAATAATGCCTTCCAATCATGGAAATTCTTCTGTACCTCTAAGAAGACAAGCAAAATCTCATGGTCAGACATTTGAATAGCTGCAGAGGGAATCTCCTTTCTGAATATCAATACATGTCCAACACATGCATTGTGTTCACAATACTCTTCTCAGGGCCCTGTAGGTATATTTATCTGTCACAACCAAGGAAGGTTACAGATTGAGTGGCTGCTAGGTGAGAGTGCTCTAGTTCACCAACCCATGTTCTCTTAGGTATTTGAGTATGTAATTCTAGGCATAAAATTTGAGTTTGTAATTTTAGGGACTAATAGATCAGCAAAGTTGTGCATATACAGATGGAAAATGCAGATGCACAGCCAGTTTCTGACTTTGGGCAGTTTAATTTAAAACCAGAGTATCACCACCTGTTTTAAATACACAAACTGTTGCTTACAAGAAAAAAAAAATTAAGAATAAGCAGAAACAGAGGTGTTCTTGGAAAAAAATTAGTTGGAAAATGTGTGTTAAACTTCAATAATCCAAAATCCAATGTCAGTCTCTGAGTTTTGTATCTATTTTATACTCCTCACTCATTTCTTCAACACTTCCCTGAGGTTTTTTGGGAATAGACTTCTCCAAAATATTAATTTTGAAACATACTGAGCTTTAGTGTTTGAGAGGCCATTCTGAGTATTTGAGGGACTTATCTGATACAAATATATCTGATCACTGAGGTTTCTTTTTTTTGAAGTATTCTAAAGTTAATTTCCTAGATTTTGGTCTCCAAGTGAAAGGGCATATTCCCAATTGCTCTGAACTCCCTCTGGAAACCAGGAAATAAAGATGTAATTATGACTTTCGTTTCAGTTCTGTATTGCAGTTCATATTGGTGTACCTACTGACATACTTTCAAACAAAGCAATAAAGTTAGTGCAAGTTTGTAGTCAAATCAATTTCAAGTTTCAAATATTCATCTTCCACAGTTAAATTAGATAAAATTTGTATCCAGAAAAGGTGTCACATGCCTAGCCACAGACACCTGTGTTTAAAAACACTGTTTAAGCACTTGGTGTCTGGACTTACATGTTTTGCATTTTTTTGTACACAGTATTTCACATATAGTTTATCTTACCAAGATGATGAATAGATGTGTGAAATCCCTGTGGACAGCTAGCAATATTGTCTTTCACAGTAAGTGATCCCCTCAACATCTCAGTTAAATTAAAGAGGACAATGAAGACATAATGATGGATTGAAGACAAAAGAGTCCAAAAGAGCAGACAGCTCCCAGCTATTCATTATGTGTGATGGGAAAAAAAATGCCAACCAGGCCTTAAATTAAAGAAATACGGGAGAAAGAACAGAAGATGCACACATCTTCTAGGCAAAGCTAAGTCAGTGTTAGCTTTGTAACTCTTTTCCGTTGTCTGTCAAATGGAAACCAAGAGACTAAAATAAAGAAGCTGAAGAATGGTAATGAAAAGAGGAGACAGGCAAAAGACATGCCACCCCCATCCATAAAGCTTATAAACCTTATTACATTATTTCTGACTGCCTTCTCTCCACTGTGGATCATTCTGTGAACAAGAAAATGCTACATCACAGAGAGTTTTCAACAATAATATTTCTTCAGAAAATGAAAGAGAAAAAGCAGACAGACTTAGAAGTACTTCCATCTCCAATCTTTTTGATTCTCCTATCAAGGAAACCCAGCCTTGATCCTTTCAGTATAATATTGCCCCAGGATGTTCAATGAACTTTGTGTAAGACATCAAGAGCGGAGGCTCCTCACTTACAACTCAAGAGAGCTGA